ACCTCCTCCTCCCCTCTCCTCCTCCATCCTTGTGTTTCTGTGGCTCTGCTCACTCTGACTTCCTTCCTGCTTCTGGGCTCATTTTTCTTAGTATCTTTTGCTGATCCCCTTATTAACCCTACAGATTTAGGCTTCTCCATGAATTCCACCCTTTGACCCTCCAACCCTCTCTTTGATTTCCCCATATATTAAAAAATTTTTGCATCATGGCAAGATACACATAACCAAAATCACCGTCTTTACTGTTTTTAAGTGTACGGTTCAATCATGTTAAGTAAATCCACACCGTTGTGCAATGGATCTCCAGAGTACTTTTTTTATCTTGAGGAACTGAAATTCTGTACCCATTAAATCAGTCCCCATTTCCCCCTCCTCCCAGCCCCTGGAAACCACCATTGTGCTTTCTGTCTCTAGGAGTTTGACTACTCTATCACCTCTTGTAAGTAGAATCATATAATATTTGTTTGTTTTCATAACTGGCTTATTTCACTCAGCAAAATGTCCTCAAGGTTCATCCATGTTGTGGCATGTCAGAATTTTCTTCCTCTTTAAGGCTGAAGAATATTCCACTGTATGTCTGTACCCCTTTTTGTTTATTCATCCATCTGTGGACAGATACTTGAGTTGCTTTCACCTTTATCTGTTGTGAATATTGCAGTGGATATGGGAGGACAGATATCTCTGTGAGATCCTGCTTTAAGTCTTTTGGTATTCACCCAGAAATGGAATCGCCAGGGATGCCTGACTGGCTCAGTCAGTAGAGCACGTGACTCTTGATCTTGAGGTTGTGATTTCCAACCCCCCCTGGGTGGAGAGATTACTTAAAGATAAAATCTTAGGGTTACCTGGGTGACTCAGTCAGTTAAGCATCCAACTCTTGATTTCGGCTCAGATCATGATCTCACGGTTGTGGGATTGAGCCCCGTGTCCAGCTCTGTGCTGAGCGTGGAACCTTCTTAGGATTCTCTCTCTCTTTCTGTCTCTCTCTCTCTCTCTCCCTCTTGCTTTCTCTCTCTCTCAATAAGCTTAAAAAAAATAAGAATAGGGGCAACTGGGTGGCTCATTCAGTTTAGCATCCAACTTTGGCCCACATCATGATCTTGTGGTTCGTGAACTTGAGCCCCACGTTGGGCTCTGTGCTGACAGCTCAGAACCTGGGGCCTGCTTCAGATTCCGTGTCTCCCTCTCACTCTGCCCTTCACCTGCTTGCACTCTGTCTCTGTCTCTCTCTCTCAAAAATAAAATAAACCTTAAAAAATATGTTTTAAATAGAAAATTTTAAAAAATAAGATCTTAAAAAAAAGAAGTTGAATTGCTGGATCATATGGTGACTCCATTTTTGTTTTTTTGAGGAAGTGCCATACTAAAGTTTTACACAAGTGCAGGGGTTCCAATTTCCTACATCCTGGCCAACACTTATTTTTTTGTTGTTGTAGTAGCCATCTTAATGGATTTGAGGTGGTTCTCACTGTGGTTTTGATTTGCATTTCCCTAATGATTAGGGATGTGCAGTGATTTTTTAATAGGCTCGCTGGCCATTTGTAGATCTTCCTTGGATAAATATCCATTTAATCCTTTGTCCATATTCAAACCAGGTGGTTGCTATGGTTGAGTTGTCTCAGCCCCCTCTTGGGTCGGGGGGTGGGGCTCACCCTTCCCGTGGCTGTAGCAGCCTCCTTTTTCTGGTCCATGGACCTGTCCTTTATCCTGAGCCCCACGATGCATTGTCGCCCCCCCAGTCACCCAGACTGTAAACTTCAGGCTCCTCTCTGACAGCTGTGTCTTATTTCTCACATGCAGTGGGTTGCCACATCTGTCAGTTGTGTCTCCACCAGGTTAGTCTGATCTGCCGTCTCCCTTGTTGTGTTACAGCCGCCACCCTGGTTGCAGGGCACCTGGGGTGATCTCGTGCCAGTATATTTTGGTGTTGACTCATCTCTGATCTCTGGTGAAATCTCAGGGTGAGGTAGCATGGGTGAAGAGTGGTGTAAAGTATGAAAGAATATATTTAATAATGTTTTATATTTGGAAGACAAAAAAGAAACCTTTTTGTATGACACGGAATAAAGTTCATAATGTTCACTCTTGCTGGAGGGGCTAGGCACATGCACTTACATCTTGTAAGCATAGCAATTTACAGTATCGATACTGATCCGAACTAAGAAATATTTGGGGGGCATTTAATCTATGCCGGGCACCAAGTATTCTATGCATATTATCTTGTTCAACCTCATAGTAACTTTATAAGGTGGTTGGTATTATCCGGAAACAGAAGCTGAGGCATGGAGAGGCCCAACATCACCCATCTAGGAAGTGGTACCTGTGGTATTCAAATTCTGGAAGTCTGGCTCTAGAACTGTTTGTATAGTTAGAGGAAGCACAGGCTTTTCTATTTTCCAAAAAAGGGGGCAGCTGACCAAACCTGGCCTCAGGAACCCAGCCTTCTTGTTCTTTACTCTGCACCACTCCCCCCGCCGCCACCCCTGCCGCCATCTTGCTGGCTGGCGTTCTCTGTCTATGCTTTTGTGGGCACTGTAGCCTGTGAACTATTCCTGAGGTGGGCCCAGGTATTGTCTCCCTCTCTCACCTGTACATACTGTCACTCTGGAGTGCCCTCCTCCCACTGTCTCCTCAGCGGGATTGATTCTTCAAGGAGGCCCGATCCCTCATCCAAGCTGCACTGGCTGTCCAGGTCCCCCTCAGCGTGCTTACCGCGGGGCTGGGTGAAGAGAAGGTACCAGTAACCTCTCACCCTGATGTCCAGGCACATTTAGTGCCTTCCCAGCTCAACTGTAAGCAACCTGAGACGAGAGCCATCTACCGAGAGCAAAGTACCTCGGTCTTCCTCCGTGCCAAGCACAGAGTACGTCGTGAAAATGATGAGTCCCAAATGTTTCCCAAATTGAGGCTCAGGTAGTCATAAAATCCAGAGCCATGGTTTTGACTCTTAACTTTTAAAAAATATTTATTTATTTATTTTGAGAGAGCGTGTGCGTGAACAGGGGAGGGACAGAGAAAGAAAGGGAGAGAGAGAGAATCCCAAGCAGGCTCCACACTGTCAGTGCAGTCTGACACGGGGACCCAAACCCACGCACTGTGAGATCATGACCTGAGCTGAAATCAAAAGTCAGACGCTTAACCGACTGAGTCACCCAGCTGCCCCTGGACTCTTAATTTTTGTGGGTCAACCAGAATTCCCGTCTTCAGAACCGACCTGGGAATCTTTCCTAGAAAAGAATGCCTTTGTATCAGAGACCTTGGCCTCCCTCTTCTCAGCGGGCCCTGACCAGGTTCCCTTTTCAGACCTTTGCTTTCCCTCCTGGCCACAGCAGTTTTGTTAAGCAAAGAGGAAGTTGCTCCAGGGAACTTGCACCTTGATGCTTAAATGCGCAGGAGCCAGGAGAGGAATAAGGGAGGTGGACTGTGCCTGCTGGAGAGTGAGGCCCAGACATGCTGGCTCACGGGGCCTCCGCTGAGGCTGGTTCACCGTGTTCCTGGGGAAGGCTCCGCTCCGAAGAGGCAAAGCGGGGGCTCACTTGGTCTTCACTTCCGCCCCACCGAGGTGGGCAACAAGTGACAGGTGAGGCAGCAGCGAAAGGCAGAGAGACTTCAGTCATGGCATCAGAAAAAAAAGTCAAGTCCTTTTTCTTTTTTCTTCCAGAACCTCAGTGCTTTGGAAACGGCTTTTCTCCCTCTTCAAAGAAAAGTTCCTTACTTTTAAGTTTCCCGGGATGCCTCTCTCTGTCTCTTTCTTCCCAACTCCTTCTGCCTCACCCAAGCTCAGACCCCATGCCAGGCCAGCCTGAAACCCCCGCCCCTGGATGCTCACGTTCCTTGCTCCCGCATCTGCAGCCATCTCCACACGTTCTGTGTGGCCCTCGGCCCTTCTGGAAGCCCTGAATGTGTCCGGCTTCCTCAGCCTTTGCCTTCCCTTTATTGGTTTTTCTGGGTCCTCTACTTGCCCATAAGGCCTGAGTATGAAACTTCCCAGGTTGGTAGGGATTGACCCCTCATGGCGCCCCACAGCTTGGAGACATTTGGGGTCACAGGCCTCAGCACTTAGAATGTACAAGGCCTCATTTTTTTGTCCGGAAGCATCTGGCAGGTGGGCGTCTGACCCAGTTTTAGGTATGTTGGCCCCTTGGCAGCCCTCAGAGGCTTGTGGTGCTCTTGAGTGAGGAGAGGAGCCAGCTTTGTGCTTTGGGGACCAGAGTAGCCACAAGGCCCTCTGACTGTGTAGGATGGATGAACTCACCAGAGCAAAGCAAAAGTCTAAACTTCTTTAAATAAAAGTTGAAATTGCCTGCTATATTTTTCTTCATGTTTCAGATTCTTTCGACATGCATAAGTGATCTTTTTCCTATTTCCTCAGAATTAACCTAACTTTGACTCATCATTTTTGATTATCTGCTATCTGGGGGAGCAGAGACAGGTCTCTAGATTACTTGTAAAGTGAGGTTCAGAGGAGCAGTGGGCCAGTAATCTTACTACAATTAATTCTGTGATGAATGAGGGTAGGCATTATCAAATGTCACAAGTAAGGGAATAGCTCCTATGATACGGGAAAACCTTTTCTGGTTTCATTACAGGACCGAGGAGAATAGTAGGGCAATGCCCAATAAGTGCCATACATTTGCAAAATCTACACGCGTTTTTATATAGGGATGGGTAAAAAGGGGGAACCAAAGATATTGGACTCTGTATTGCAGTGTTTCTTCCTGTTTGTAAACAGGGGTGGGGGTGGGCTGTTTCCCCCATGAGTCTCTGCTGTGCTTGGATGGGTTCGAAGACTTGGGTCAGGATAGCACTTTTCGGAATTCCTTCTTAGACCTGAAAACCCAAGGCTCTGCCTTCAAATAAATGTCCCTCACCACCCCCCGCCGAGGAGGGAGTGTGTTTATGGCATTTAATGTAGTGGTTTGGCCTCGTGCAAGGGAGCTCGAGGCATGAGTCACCAAGTTACACATACAGAGCACCTCTTTAATGCACTCCCCTTCCAGGTGCCGGCAGATGTTGAGAAATGTCAGGATCGGATGGAGTGTTTCAACGCTGATCTGAAAGCCGACATGGAGCGGTGGCAGAGCAACAAGAGGCAGGACTTCCGGCAGCTGCTCATGGGAATGGCCGACAAGAACATCCAATACTACGAGAAGGTAATGAGTGTGCCGGCAAGACCCCAGCCCTCTCAGTGAGGAAGCACGTCTAATAGCCAGAGAGAGCCTGGGGCAAGGGCCTGCCCGAAATCCAGCAGCAGCCACCCCTGCGGGTCCTTGCCCCACTGTGCGAGATGCGGCGCCAGGTTTGGGAGCAGAGGCCCCCGTGGGGGTGCCCACAGGGCATTCACGTGCACACGCTGCTCACGGAAGCGGCAGTTCTCTTCTCCCGGGCCCTTTGGGCCTGGCGGCTAGCTGCGCCCCAGAGTCAGCAGGCCTGCAGTCTAGGGAGAGAGCAGGACCCAGAGGGCCCTGGGGTCTCTCACTGAAAGCAAGCTCCTTGAGGCTCCTGGGGCTCCCTTACGTGGGGTAGGGTCTGAGTCTAGTTTCTACTCCAACCTCAGAGTCACCAAGGAAGGAAGCATGGAGTAATTTTACCACTCCGCTCCCCAACTTGACCAAAGGATGCCTCTCTCCTCCTACCTGCTCAGAACTCCTTCCCAAATGACTCAGCACAAAGACCTGCTTCACCCCGAGCTCCTTCTACACAAGGTCTTGTGTGGTTCTTCTGTTGTGCCCTTTATGCAAGAGATTGCTCAAAGGGAGGATCATTTTGCCAAGTAGGGTGCTCTCAGAGGAGAGTGCCAGTCTTTAGGTTCTTGGCCCTTCACAAGGATCTGGAATGAAAGGGGATTGCTGCAGTGGAAAGAATATCCGCTTTGGCCACTTACTAGCTGCGTGTCTTAGACAAGTTACGTAAGGGTAACGTCTGGGTCTCATCTTCTCCATATGAAGTGTGTGTGTGTGTGAGAGAGAGAGAGAGAGAGAGATGAGGAATAATGATCCTACTGCATGGAGTTGTGAGGACTAGCAATAGTGAATGTAAGATACATGATGATGTTTGGATCCGAGGAAATGCAGTAAGTAGAGTTTCCTCCCCCTATATTCCCTGTTGGGAGATCTAAGAGTGGCCCGTTCAAGCAAAACATCTGAGGTCAGTAAGGAGGCGTGGGGTTTCCACCCACTCTGAGTCAGGTGGCTGGCTCACATCACCATCATTTACATCCTTGTGCAAGTCCTCCCCACACCTGGAGCAAGTCTTCCTCTTGGCTGAGGACCTAGAGCCTCCTGAGGGCTTGCAGCTTGCCATCTTTTCTGCTTTTTGAAGGGAAAGAATTTCTGCCAGCTGTGAGCTGTGTGGACGGTACATTAAGGCCTCATAGAGACCCCGCTGTCTTTCGTCTCAGAGATGGGGATGATATATTCAAAGCAAACACCGGCCACGTCCCCAGTTTCTAATAGTGATGGATAATCCACGTAGACCTCGGATGTTACATTATGTACGTACATTACTTAGACAAGACATGAGACAGAGGTCACCCGGTGGGACTAACAATAAAAGGGTAGCTCAGAGAAGAGTTAAGAACCTGATCCTAAAATCTGATGTTGAAAATGTGTGTGTGTGTGTTGTCATTTCAGTGCCTCATGGCATGGGAGTCGATTATTCCACTACTACAGGAGAAACCAGAGGCCAAGTAAGTTCCTTCTTGGGACCGAGACTCTTCTACCTACACAGGGCATGGCACCCCATACCAGGACGTCCCTGTAGTGCCAGAGAGGTGGCACTGAGAAAACAGCCACAGAATCATCTCTCCTTTGTGTATTTCTCTCCCTTCCCGCCCCCCACCCACCTTTGTCTGACAGTGGTTCTCCGTTAGTATTTATTCCTTGGTGGAGTCTGTAAGGCTATAATCATCTCTCAGCGAAAGAAGCATACCTCCATGTTGTGAAGGAGCCCATTAAATCTGGAACACTAAGATCTGCAGCTGAGGGACGAGGCAACCCAGCTGATGTTCTGACATCTCATTACAGTCTCCTGTTTGGGGACAGCATGGTTGCCTGCGGTGGAAGAGAGCCCGGTTCTTGCTTTTCCAGGACACGAGGAAGGCGGGCACAGAGGGCAGCTCTCGTTTTCCACAGACACACGGGGACTCTGGAATTGACCTGTGTGGGCATCGACTTGTCTCAGCCTAGAAGGGGGTGTTGGCACCTCCACGAAAAGTCCTTAATGTACAGTGGCCTATAGCTGTGAGTGTGGCCTGCTGCCTGCTTGTGACGAGTGGCACCTCTTTTGTGGCTTCTGGTTCACATAGGACCATTTATATCAGCGTCTGTATGCGTCCGTGCCCAAATGAGCAAGCCAGTGTCCTTGTCCTCGTGCGATACCTCGGGGAGCCGAGGGGGCAGTGCTCCCCAGACTTGTTTCTGACACTAGAATGCAGTAGATTGGAAACTGTTTTTTGTGTAAAATGGGGGGGGGGTGCATTTTTCTCTGTGAAGTTCTTCAGTGTTTTTCTTTTGCTTGTTCAGTGTCGTCAGAGTAGAGCTGAGGCCCGTGGTGGGAAGTCCGTGTTGTCTGAGGTCAGAGTAGCTCCCAGTAACTGGGGTCAGTGGGCGTACACTAGGCCCCATCTCCACGTCTGCTCTGTGCCGTCTGCCTTTACCTCACCCAGAACTCCTAATTTAGTGTCTCCTACCACGTCCACGGAGTGTTTGGGCGGCCTTTTGTTGAGAGGCTGGTGTGCTGTAGTGACACAGTGGAGGTTCTGGGAACTCCGTGTGCATGTTCCATATGAAGTGCTTTAACCCTCGATAGTCCCTGGTCGGAAAGAAAAGTCGGTACCTGGATGGGCCTCGAAGATGACAAGTGCTAACAGCGAGCCCTTTGCTTCTCGATAAGCTAAAACCTCTTCAACTTGCAGCCACGTTCCCCAGTGACCACTGGCTGCATCTCAAGTCTTCAGACCGACACGAAACCGACGAAGAGGATCTATCTTCCAACTCCTTTTCTTTCCTCCTGAAGTGAAGCTACCTATGCCACATTTGCGCTCTCCCGTCTGTGGCTCATCTCCCCGTAAAATGATCAACCTGAGCCTCAAAGAGGCAGTTAGTGTTCTTGTCGCGACGCAGCCAGGCCGAGGCGCTGGCGCACACGCGGGTTGTAACCCGCAGGTACCCGGCCGCGTGCAGCGTGTCGAGGTTCCTCCACCCCCTCGCGCCCGCGGCGTTGACCTTGGGTGGCCACTGCCGTGATGCCAGGGGTGCAGCAGTAGGCCAGCGCAGAACAGTTCGGCTCTGTTTCATTCATGTTTTGAGGAAGTCACGGTTTCAGTTAGAACTTTTGTATCCGTCGGTACTTGCCTGCACCGTCAGACCCCCTCACGCCGTTCTAAAATCCTGCGATGTGAATTTTTGTTTGGTACAATGAGAAGCGATTCATCGAAGCAGAAGGGTAAGGACAGGCCATCTAGCCCGAGTGGTGAGTCCGTGTTTCATGCTACCTCTAAGCCATCACGTTGGTGCGGGTATGGATGATGGACGTCTGGGTCCAAGCTGACAGCTTGCTGGTAGAACAGGGTGTATATCCAATAACGGGTTGACGGCCCTCTCTTGATATTCTGTGGAAGGCACTAGACTGACCCAGCAGCGAGCGCTCATCTGCAGGAACGTGCGAAGCCTTGCCTTGTGGAATGCGTGCTTTAAAAACGTTGTCCGGTGTCATGAGTGCTTGGAAAGAATCGTGGAAAGAGTTGATGGGAAGACCAGGATCTCACCTGCCGCTAGTTGCCAAAGCCCAGGAGCATTCCCGTGGAAAGTTTAGTTGGAAAGGAAGGCAACCCTTCAAAACAGTCATGGGGCTCCTCTCTGGGACATACGGGAAGGGAGTGGAGGGGGGACGCAGTCGTTCCTTACGTTATTGGAGGCAGAAGACTAGCTCGGAGGGGACTCGGGCATCTTGCGGCTTGTCTTTCTCCATTTGTTTGCCATGTGATGTTTCTGTGCTTTAAGACACCGGGGAGAGCTGGGACACTGACGCCAGAGCTGGGAGAACCAGAATATGTTCCAGGCTCCCCTGGAGAAATGGTCTTGCCCGAGAAGGGACGCTTGCCCCTTCCTTCAGGCTGGCGGCAGATGAGGTGAGGAGGCCCAGGAAGAAGGGACGGTAGGCAGTGAAGGAGGCTCCCCAGGCCTCCCCGACCCCCACGGCTCGTCCAGCCTCTGCGGGTCAGGAGTCCCAGGCATTTGCCCTTTCATCTCTGTGAGCATGAAGGGGATTCCCTGTGAGAAGTGTGACCGGAGACTTCTGTGCCAAAGACTGCCTCGTAGAGGCTTCGTCACCCCGTCCTTCTTGGCTCCACAAAGTCGTGGTGCTGAGATCACTGCCTCCTCTCTTATAGTTGTGTCCCAGGAGGCTTTTGCTTGGGGACACGCTTGACCTCAGGCAGACAGACTTGGACAGGTTTTGAGTCTTGGGCACATGGCAGCAGAATGCAGAGTGACGCCTATCAACTGCCTCTCGGGTGCGGGAAGTGAAGGGTTCATTCACCCAGGTTAAAAATCCAGGCTAAGGCAGAAGAGGAGAGAATTCCTAGAAACTGAGCAGATTTTAGAGATGCACTTGATGCCGAAGGGAGCACTTGTGCTTTGTGGCAGATATGGACACTGCGGTCTTCCTTATCATGTGGTGGATCCACAAGGGGATTCTAGGCTACTCTGCCCAAAGCCAAAAAACCTCTGTTCTTCCTGAAGGAGGAGGGAACACGTTTCACAGCCAGGTTTGGGGTTGGGTTTTGTCCTTTAATAAGACTTACTAATGATTCCCAGTGACCTCAGATAAGTGCAATTATGGAGATGATTGGCTCGTATTTCACTGTGCTGCTCGTTGAACTCACCAGTCACCTTCCTTTAGGTGAAACAACAAAAGCCAGTACGACTCCGGGGGTCGTGGTGAATGTAACGTTAAGTTTGTCTTCATGCCAAATTTCAGCCACACCTGGAGCGTGTTCTACATGTTGTCGAATTAAATGTTTTACCAGTCGCCATCCACACGAGGGATTTAAATGCACGCTTGCTGCTCATTTCTCGTGAGGCCACCTTTGTTTTGAAGTGACCGGAAGTCCTGCTTTAGAGGAGGGCATGGTGACCTGACTGCCTGTCTGCAAGTGGAGTGTGTCTCTTGGACCCGTAGGTGTCAGCCTGGGACACACCCTGCCGTCAAGAGCATTGACATCGCGGGCCCCTGGCTTTGTTTTCATGCCATTCATTACACTGCAGAGTAGTCCTTCTCTACCCTCTGCCCTGAGACAGGCAGGAGAGAGACATCGCCACAGCCTCCCGGGCCCATGTGGGCCTCGTCTGTTTGGATGTCGGGATGGGGTGACCTGGCCTCTCCTCGGGCTGCGCTGAAGGGTGCTCCCGCTCAGGAGAGGCTGCCTGTGGTCAGGGCAGGGCACAGCAAGCCTGCGGCCCACCTTCCCGGATGCCTACTGTCAAAGGCCCGTGGAAACTGAGTAATCTAATTGTCAGGCTGGAGTAACACTGCAGTCCATCCCCATTTACAAAACATTTTGGGAATTTGGCTTTGCCTTCTCACTTTCAAGATGGCAACAGATTGGACACGGCCTCTTATGTTTTCTCCATTCAGATGGCAGGTGGCATTTATCAGTAAATTCGAGTAAAATGTCATGATGTCCTGGGTCAGACTGACCTATCAAGCTGGGTGTGTTGGAGTTGTTCTCTGCTTCCTCATGGGTTTTTTTTTTTTTTTATTTAGTGCATAAACCAGGAACCTGATTTTTCATCAGCCCACCCAATAGGTGGTTAGCTTTCTGCTTTAAGCATGTCTGGCCTCCCTACAGTCGCCTCGATGAGAGCGTGCACAGAGCTATCTGCGTTAGGAAAGGTGGAGGAAAGGCCTTTGTCACGGGGAGTTTGATCGTTGTTTCTTAATCGTATGTTTGAATTGCATTCCGGGTCTGGCTGTCTAACCCTTTCTATGTGGCAGAAAAATATGTTCTTCAGGCAGTTTTTACTACTATAGATAGCCTGTAAATAAGTACTTTGGAAAAAAATAACAAACCAGTAGATATTTGTCTTATATAGAAACATTCTGTGTGTTTAGCACTTGAAAATCAACAAATCCAGACTTTTAAAATTGCCACAGACTGTTGAAAGCCTAACTCTACTTTTTGAGAATTGTCAACTCCTACTAATATGCCTTATTCTTCAACTAGTGTGTTTTAGATTCTGGATAGAAAGAATTTTTTAGAAACGTAATCAGTTGTTCAGCTTAAATGCTAGAGGTCTAACATAGCCAGTCCTCAGCCCTCTTAAAGAAATAAGAAAGTGAGGTTCATAATTAGGGCTGCCTTTTGGGAAGAGAAAGCTAAGTATTGCTATTGCCAAATGATATTTTTGATAATGTAAGGAAACACAGGGACCACTGAACCGTTTGTGTGTGTGTGTGTGTGTGTGTGTGTGTGTGTGTGTGTTAAAGTGTGAAAGATTAACTTAGTGCCTTTTGGCACACTCTTGATTGTAGAGGATATATGGTATCAGCATTGACAAATCACGTGGATACAGAGAACTCTAGATTATGACAATATTAATGGTGTACCCCCATTCTGCGGAACAGTTTTTTAAAAGATAACTGGGGGGGGGTGGGGGGCTCAGAGCAGCGTGTGTCAGATAGAAATTCT